TTACTACAATGACATGAGTAACATAGGACAGAGAATCATCAGCTTGCATCAGGGTTCTCAACAAGACCCCACTGGTACAGTAAGTAAGTACTGTCTTTGGAGACACTCTACAAAAAATAGAATTATCTATCAACATGCCCTTTCATTCAAGCAGCCATTGATCCACCTTCATTACAATGTTTTTATAAAAGAAGTCAGCTGGTAACCTAGACCCTGTTTACTTGAGATAGGTGTAGAGCCAAACTCTCTTGTTTTCAATCCTCCAGGGAAAAGAAAACAAAGGAGTTAGCCCTTCCACGTAGGGGCACCCTATCTCATGTAAACAGGGTCCTAGCATTCAGTAACAGTTTCCAAACAATTCCTTTTTAATCAACTTATTCATAAAATATTCAAAATTATCAGTCTACTAGGAAGGGTGCTATCTGTGCTCCGTACCTGCTTTCCAGTCTAATTTGATAGCCCACTGTCTGAGCAATTTTCTCTCCTCGTTCTACTGCAACTCTTTCAGCAACAGATATTGCAGAAATTCTTCTTGGTTGGGTGCACACAATACGACATGGTTGTGACATTGCAGAAGCATTCTCTAGTATATATTGAGTTACCTACATGTAGTAGTAAAATTTGAAACAACATACTGGGTTTCAATAAGGATTGATTGAGCAAAAGAAAAAAGAAAAAAGTAAATAAATTAATGGAGGAATGGAAGAAAGAATGAATGGATAGAAAGAAGGAGACATAAATGAATGAATGGTTGGATAGATAAACTGATGAAAAAATTTAATGAGAATAAATCATTGGAAAACGAATGAATTTTAAATCCATCAAATTTAGATACATTGATTGTAAACCATTTAGAAAGAATAATAATTATATAAATAATAATAATATATTATATATAATAATAATAATAATAATAATAATAATAATAATAAATAAATAAATCGCCAGGCACCTGAGTTGTTTTCCCTGATCCTGTCTCTCCAGAAATCATCACAACCTGTTGGAACATGCAGTGGAAAAAAGGAAGAGCTGATCAACAGATAATATCCTGACACAACAACCTTTAGTAAATCTACAATCATCATCTCACCTGGTTCTCATTAATTGTTTCTAATATTTCACTTTTCTGTGCATGGATCGGCAAGGATTTACGGAACTCAAGGAGCTCATTGCTTTTTGATGGCGGAGGTACTTGGGGAGGGGTGTTGTTAAGTTTACCCACAAATCTATTCTCTTTACTTGATTTGCCTGTAAATACAATACATGTACAAACATCAAAGCATAAATCAACTGACAAGAAAGATTTCCAAGTATCTTGGTCAATTTGATAAGCATGAGTATTTTAATCACCATTGTCACTTGTTCCATATGACCTTTCTGTCTTAGGGAAGAGTTCAAGTTTCTCTTTGGTGTTAAGAGGATACTTTTTCATCAAAGCATCAATGCATTGAGTTGAAGTTTGACATAGYTTGACTTTGTTGCTGGATGCACAGACCTTTGCCTCGCGTTTAGTTGCAACCAAGAATCTATTACTTCCAGTCCTTAAAAAAAACACCATATCAACAACAAATTATAAAGAGTGTTTTGCCAAGTGTTTTACGTAAGGTACAATATAATAATTACACATGGTTCAGTGTCAGCTCCATTTTCTAAGTTGAGGCTAATGCTGTATTATGTATTATGGGAATACAGGGTTATTCTCAACTCGGGGAAAATGCAAATTTTCAAGGCTATTTGTAATAACAACATTTTCTCTTGCTCTCTTATGTGTTTGCTAAGGACTTTGCGCAAGARAATCTGTTGTCAAACAGAGCAGCGTTTTTTCGCTTTGAATTCGCAAAYGGAGGTTATTATTAATAAATATGTTAGATATGATAGGAACAAAATGTAAACTCACCCATGGCTTTTAGATTTCAAGCCAGTGCTCTGACAAATCCTATGGACATAAGCTCTTTCCACCGACGTGAATGAGGATGGAAATTCAAGCTCTGTATGGAAATCAAGGTGAAAAAAAGCCAGAATTTAAAAGATAGCGAAGGGAAAGACATCAATCAATCCGTTATCAAAGATTTCTTTGTTTTGTTTTGAATGCCATTTTAACTTATCACAATGCTCCAAGTTCAGTAACAATAATATTTGTAGCATTTTTAAGTAAGACTTAATTAAGAATAGGCATTAAAGTTTGAATCTAAACGCGATTATTTCTATATAGTTCTTTTTATGGCAGCTCAAAGCCGACAATAATCGCCAATGACCWTTAGAGGAATTTCCATTAAGAAATCTAGATTTGGGATAGCGCGTACAATACGTAGTTTCTGCATTGCTTTACAGAAAAATGATAACARGATAAAAYACAGCTACATACGTTTCTGGTTTTCATCTAGCCTGAATTTATCAAGAGCGATCTTTACGGCTATTTTAAACTCCTCTTTCACGCAGATCTTTGCCCGACCAAGATCCGCCATCTTGGATCCATGGGCATTACTGCTGTYCATAAACACAGCTGGCTACATTCACGTGTTTCCAAAATGTCGGATGGAAGTGGCTGTAGTTACTAGTAATAACATCCTAAATTAGTGTTTAAAKCGTTTTAAATCGTTTAAGATGAAGAGAAAAACAGAAAATTACACTGCTTTACACAAGGAGACTCCTCATAAAAAGGTATGCCAAGGATCATAGACAAATGTCTATTTTTCACTTGTTATAATCGCACGTGGGATCCAAAAATGCAAATCCAAGACACGATTTTATTAATAGTRATACAATAACAAAGAAAAATAAAATTAAAAAATGAGATTTGATCTTATTTTTAGCCTGCATTGGAAGATGAAGGCAAGCAGGGSCYCAAAAATGCCTCCYTGTACAGGCCGCCAACCAGTGAAGAGATGAGCTCCTTGAAAGAAACTGAAAACTTGTTTAAATCAAGTCTTATTCGTATGCAGGTACGATAGATCCATTAGATTGTGATATTTATGCATTGGAAGTACGTTACATTGAGAATGTATAATGTTTGACACTGTTCACTTTAAAGCACAGCTGTGTGAACTTGTTTTGTTTGTCTTTCATTCATTCAACTTGATTTGCTGTAGATTACCGAGTTGCTGAATGAAGTAAAGCCCAAAAAGAATAAAAGCAAAGCACTGGACTCAGTCCTCCGTGATTTAAATGAATTTTTACAATCCCTACCTGCAAAGGGCAAAGAATATGAGGTACATGTACTTCTAAACAAAATAGTGTTGAATACATGTATGTTAGTGAAAATGATGATGCTAATGTCATCAGCAATCATGATGGTGTCCCATAGTCATGTTATAATGTTAAAGGACCAGTGTGTACAATTATGCTTTGGGGGACGCAAGGGCCGGGAGGTGGCCATTTTCATTTTACTGAAAGTCTATAAATTGTACTGTGCATTTTGAATCTTTTACCATATCAATTTTCTAGGCACTTTAAACGCTAATATTAGAGTTTTCAACCACCTGACATTCGTTTTATGGTGATATTTGGATACTAGAAGTGTTTTGGTGTAAATCATAACAATAACAGAGGCGCGCAAAGCATAATGGTGCAAACTGGGCCTTTAAGGTGATAATGAATGGGGCAATTAAAATTACAGTCTAGATAATCAAATCCACAACACTGTACGCTATTGTGTTTGTTTATAGCTGTGCGATTATTCATGGTTGTCAAAAAAAGTCAAGTTCCCTCTTCCATCGCCTCCATCAAAGGTCAAGGGCAAATTCCAGTTTATCAAGCCATCCAATATTAATGTTGTGGGAAGTTATGTTCTTGGTACTTTGACCAAACCAGACTTTTTTGTTGATGTCATTATGGAAATGCCTAAGGTAACCCTAATGACACATTGTACGTAGTTTGTAATATTCAAAGAAATCACATGGTTCTGATCTACAGTACCTGTTTTGATATTTTCTTACAATAGACATACTTATATTCATATCATTATTGCATGATTTGCAGGAGTGTTTTCAGTCCAAGGACTACCTCAATATGAGATACCATCACAAGAGAGCATTTTATCTTGCTGTTGTTGCATCTAAACTAATCAAGAGTAAAACTTTTGAATCGGTCAAGTTTACTCATTTTAATGGAGAATTACTCAAGCCGATCTTACTGCTAAAACCAAAAGGTAGATTCAACATCAGGAAAATTGATTATTTAATTTCTGAATGTTCATTATTCAGCAATATTGGTTGAGAGTTTTCACTGCTACATGTATTTCAACTTTTGGGCACCTCAGTGTAAAAAACATTTTGATCTTTCCTATAAAAGTTAAACAGTTGCATAATCAATACTAAAAATTAAAATATTAATCTTAAAATCAAGTGTTATGTGTATTAATTTGTTGAGCTAATGGATATTTTTTCACAGGCAAAGCTGGCAAGAACTACACAATAAAGTTATATCCAGTCCTTCCCAAGGGGTGTTTCAAAGAACATAGGTTTTCTCCTAAAGTCAATAACATCAGACTGAGCTGGTTCAAAGRTGAAGAGCAAAGTACTGAAGAACAAGGTAAGAATAGTTATTGAACAACCTTAGAAGAGTAAAGGACAGAGGAGTTATGGTGTAAAATTGTTGCCTGAACAAAATATTCAGTGTGTGCATACCTCCCTTTCCACAGAAGTATAGAATCGTACTTTCCTGTTTTATTTTTGATATGGTTGATCATTGTTCTTGGGACTTAATTACTTAATACTGATAATGACGATACAGTACCGACTGGGTCTACTGACTTCTTCATAAGTTTGTTGTTTTTGTGGCTAGTGCCTCGGAACGAAGCTCAAGACACTATGCTATCGCCTTGTAAGTGTGTGTGGCTGTAATTCGGAATAGCTCCGTAATTGACTTGCTTTTACTCCGGAAATTTTTCATTTTTTAAATGAAAAATATTAAAACGAAACTAACGACAGAAAATTAAAAAAAAACTTTTTTTAACAAATCAAAAACTTGCATGAAGAAGTTATCAAATCCATGATTTAGCTTCATTCACTCCTTCATGTTCAAAGTTTTGAGTTTTTAACTACTCAATTTGGTTTGCATAGATTTCCTTTAAGCAAATAAAACTAATATTTTGCTTAWATTTTGATTTTACTAGCTAGCACTAGCCACATGCAGTCCTAGACTGCCTATTTTTAACACTTACTTCTAYATATTGTAGACTCTTCATTACCGTATATGCCGTATTCACATCTGGGACCACCTACACCACATTACAATGCAAGCATCCTTGCAGACTCTTTGATGGAGAGTCATCTGCATCATCTSTACAAAGCCATTAGTGACTGTCCTGCCATCCAAGATGCTGTTATCTTGATTAATGTCTGGTTGCAGCAAAGAGACCTCTCCAAGGTAAATATATATATATGTTATTTACCRGCTGGGAGGTCTGTATAGGAAAACACTGCCCGAGGACCGAGGGCAGTGTTTTCCTATACGGACCGAACTATAGCCGGTAAATAACATTTTTATTTTTTTATTTGTATTTTATGCAACTTTGCTCGCAGCCTAGCTGCAGGATACCATCGGACCAGGCAGATCGTGAAAAACGGGACCGCGCGCTAGCCAATCACAGCACGCGAATGACTAGAATATTGGACCGAAATATAAGAGACCTTCAGACTGTTGAATGATATACAGTTGATTCTCTTTAAATGACCAGTGCTCTTGTAAGTGACCATCTCCCGTAAGCGACCACCTTTTAAATTTCCCATTGTGTTAATTTCCATATAAACTCTGTAATTAAAAAAACTTTCTCGTAAGCAACCATCTCTTGTTAAAGCGACCACTTTTTCCTGATCCCGAGGTGGTCGCTTACAAAAGAGTTGTCTGCATATTCAACTCACTGGAAAAATTTGGGCATGGAGACCTTGCAGCCAGAGACCTTATAAGGGCATTACATGTATATGGTACATGTAACTGCCATTCACTCATCAAACTGACACCTGTCAGTATCAATTTATATTTCACTAGTCATTGACTCCTATTAAACTGACTATTTGGACAACAATTTAATGATCAATACAATGCCATTTTTCCATAGACACTATGTTTTTAAGCTCATTAACTATTTCTTATGACTTTGGTTTGAATGGATTTATACAGTACTGTCCAGTTGTTTTATACTGTTGTTCACTTGTTCTTGTTGCATAGGGTTCAGGTTCATTTGGGGGTTTCCTTGCTGCCATGGTGGTGTCTCATTTGTTCACGAGTCATAAAATCAACCCACACATGAGCTCATATCAAATTTTAAGAGTCTTTTTACAATTCATCAGTAAGTTTACCACTCAGTAAATAGAGCAAACACAGGAAAACCATGAAATAAAATCAAACTATTGAAATACTAACTAATAGTGGCTATTTAGAGACAGTTTGTCAGTATCAATGAACCAGAACACAATGAAGATGAATCCACATGGGACAGTTTGTCATTCATCTTTATTGCGTTCTGGTTGATACTGACAAAATAGCCACTATTTGTTAGTATTTAGTTTGATTCATGGTTTTCCTGCGTTTGCTCTATTGTGATTYGACAATTACATGCAGTTACACAATATRATAATTACTCTGTCAAACTGCTATTTCTTTATCATTGCTTTTTTATTTTGTAGCAACTACGGATTGGGATAAAATGGGAATTGAAATGAAGAAAGATAGCATCATAGGGATTTACGTAAGTTTAACAGAGAATCAAAGTATATTTTTCCAAGTGTTATATGTAAGAATATTCATAACTACAAATTAATTAATATAGAGTGAAGTCAATGAACCCGTGAAATACATATTTGACTATTACATGTTATTACTCGATAATTCCATTGTTTTCTTTTGTGTCTATTTGACTATTACAGTTTAATTATATTAACTTTTACTTCACAGGATCAATGCCTTCACTCTAACATTGCCATGTGAATTTTGATTTTATTTATTGTGATCTTTTTCAGCCATTCTTGTCTGAATTCCATGCAGACTTCGATGTGGTTTTTGTTGATCCATCAGGATGTCTGAACCTTTGTGCTAACATGACTAAAGATACCTATCTCAGAGTAAGTGTACTAATGATTCATTATTTCTAATTAACAATGCTTAGTAGCTTATATGATATTTATTATATGATATTTTATTTGCTTCTTGTCTTAAGGTCAAACATGAGGCAAAACTAGCAATGGAGTTTTTAGACAGTAGATTCCTWGATGGATTTGAAGTGCTATTCATGAACAAGGTGCCATTTCTCCAGRCTTTTGACCAGTTCTTTTGGTAAGAAACAATGGAGATGATGTACATTTTATACTTTGGGAAATGACCATGTTAATTGACAATATAATTGGCAATTAAACACCGGTTCTTCAACGTCTTATTTGTTATGTTAAGTGGTCGTAATATAAATGTTCTAGTCTCCCCACAGTTCACTGTTGGGGTCCCTGTGCCCATAGGAAGGCTGACACAGCTTCAGCATAGCAAATGCCAGKGAAAGATGATTCCTTAATATGTAGAGTTTTCCTCTTCCGTCATCAGTTTACCTCAAATAAACTGTTTACAAGATGTCATCAAAAAACCTGAACTGAGAGACAGAGCAATGAGCCAAGTTTGTGACTGGGCACCAGTGGTGTSTGATTGGACRATAAACATGCTGAAAAAGGGTCTGGGAAAGAGAGTTGAGCTCATGTGTGTCAAGCCTCAGCCTCYTAAAGAAGTAAGTGTGGTGTATACAATTTGTGGTGGATACAATTTAACAATAAATGAATAAAACTAATACCAGAGTATAGCAGACGATAATGATAAATTCATAATTATATATATGATATCAAAGAGGCAAGATTTTGCTGTAACTCCGAGTTTCGTGCTATGCACTCATCAGACAGTATTTAATGGGATCAGCCACTTCCTCATACGATTAAATTCAWAATTATTACTGACATTCTCAAAACTAATTATTAATAGTGGTCTCCCAAAGAGACTCCACCTACTGCAACACGTGATGAGATGATTATTGGTCTAATGCTGGACCCAGAACACTTTGATAGTGTGTTGGACCCAGGTCCACCTGCTGATGACCCACAGGTAACCCAAAGATTGAAATGATAATGATGGTGATGATAGCACACTGCAAAAAATGCTAGAGCAATCGCTATGATTTCATCTTTCTTCAATGAAGTTCTCTTCCGTCACTGTGTTTAATTTGAACATTTCCATTTGTTGTTGTTTAATTTACTTGTGTTTCATTCAAGGCAAGTTCATTCAGGGCATTCTGGGGAGCCAAGTCAGAGCTTAGGAGGTTTCAGGATGGGTCTATCCTAGAGGCTGTGGTCTGGCYGTGCAACAATGCTGCAGAGAAAAGACTGATTTGTGCACAAGTCATCAGACATCTGCTAGATAGGTACATATTTAAAKGAATAAAAATATTACTTAATCAACTAGGATCTTGAAGATTTATGGTGATCCACAAACAATATTGTTGCCATGTTTGCACCGAAAGCCTACAACATCATTTAACTTCAAGGTTTGATAAATTTGCAGACACTGTAAAGTTGATCCCAGTTCAGTACATTTGATTTCAAACCAACTTGATGGATTACTTCAAGCCTCTACACCAGAGGATCACGCCCAGAAAAGACGCCATAGCTCYACCAGCATGGCGGCAGGCACTGGGGAGGAAGAACTACAGGAGGTCATGAAGGCATATGATACATTGTGCAAACAGATTCGATCKCTGGATTTACCCTTGGCTGTGCATTCCTTGCAAGGGATTAGTCCAGTCTTTAGAGGATCTGAGGTAAGATATTGACTATGTTAATAACCCCCAACTCCACACCATTTCTCTTTATTCTTGGGTTTCCTGTGTATAGATATTACAAAGGAAGCCCACTGAGCAACGAAAGAGTAAAAGTAGTTGCTTGTGGAGGATGGTACATGTTACTTAAGGCATTGTTGATTGTCCAATCTTATTTTTCAGGTCCATGCACCAACTCCATGTTACAGCAATGCTTCAAAGACAYTACAAAATGACGAAAACAAAGAAAATGGTCAGTCTGTTTCCATGGCAGCAAATATTACTTTGCCAAAAGCAAATAAAGCTACAAAATGGTGTCCAGTTGCTGAAGGTTTGTGATCTTGTCTTATTCACTGTTGACACATTTTCCCTTTGTGCAG